CACTCTACCAAAGGTCTTACGCTATGGCAAACATCCATTTCCTTCATAAGTAATCTGTGTCTACACGGCACACAGCAGAGACTTAAAACAATTTCATGGTTCTGAACCCCAAATTGATGCCATGCACAAGAATAAACCTGCACCAGAAAGAACAGTGAGACAGTGAACATCATTAGAGTAGAACGTCAATGTAATGAATGATTCACGGTTCATTTTAGTAATGTAAGAAATTTCACTTTTCTTCACCAACTCCAACTGCTTGAAGAATTTGCTAACATTTAATTTTGTTAAGGAAAAGAAGCAATTAATAATATGTTAGGGGGGTAGCAGAACTAAACTCTACAAAAGAAAAGGCTTTGGATTCCAGATGCTAATCTTCCCTTAGACATTAAAACAAGAACCACTTGTTGAGAAAGCAAAGTGGTAGTCCGAAGGAGTATTCACCTGGTTTTCTCTATGAGGTAGAGCCTACCCATCCTCCTGACTGTAACTACGAGAACTAAAGAGCATGGTATGGCTAGAGTTGGCTCAGTGGTTAAGAGCACTTACCACTCTTCAACAAGACCCAGGTTCGGTTTCCAGCATCTACATGATAGCACAGAACCACCTGTAACTCCACTTCCATGAATCCAACATTCTCTTCTAACTTTCAAGGGCACCAGGCATGCACATGGTGTACATTATCATATAGGCAAAACACTCATACAGACACATCTATACAATTAAAAAAAGCTAGAATGTGTATGAGTGTTTTCTGTGAATGAGCCTAACCTACAATACTCATAAGGATTCACTCCTAGTCATTTCTTCGTCAATAATTCAAAGTTCAAGTTCTGTCCTCATGAAACTACTCTAGCAGGAAGAGAACCAACTTGAGCCACAGAAATAACAGGCAGAAAAACAAAAATGGTAACCGGAAGACCATGGAAAGCCTCTCTGATGGGATGAAATGTAAGGGAGGCCAGGGATGGAGGAATTCTGTGGAAATGGGATTCAAAAGCCCAGGAAATGTTTTTAGAGTTATCTATCAAATTTAAATGCTGTATGCAACAACATCAGTATTCACAAACTGCCTCAATGCTTCATTAGCATGGACCTGTCACCAAAAAACAATTGTCCATTTCACCGACAGTAAAGATTTATACAGCTGCTAAAAGCTAATGCAGTTGTACTAAAAGTTACCTAGCAAGACACTGACACCACCGTTTTAAACCAAAATAAACTAACTCTGACAACAGCTGGCTGCCCTGTAGACGTCTTGTACCTGTTAAGTTAGGAGTACATTGGGAGGTATGAGTTTGATAATTGTGATAGTCTTTATTTGTGTTGATTTTCTCTGGACCATGTCTCCAAACATTTTGATTATGATTATCACCATCAGAGAAAAATAAAGTGTAAAGCAATTGATGCTTAATTATATAAATTATGTATACATTCAAAGCTATTGTATACATCAGAAGACACTACAGGGTTGATCCCAAGCTTCATTCAAAACAAGGCATAGTTTACGTTTCCAGATCAATTAAAAATGTGAGCATTGCAATTAGAATCAAATGTACCTCAGTCTGCTAAATTACACTTAAGTAGAGAAAGGATCTTAGCGTCTACCTAATTAGCTATAATTTGCTATATATCATTTTACAAAGTATTATCTGTTAGTATATAAAAGAATGACCAACACTCAGACAAGTGTATCTGGGAACTATGGAGATGAGTTAATAGCTACAGTCCACTAAATTAAGAACAACTTATTTCTCTTCTGAGGTATAGGGATAGATAGCTCATATACCAATATCCCAAGGTTCACAGAAGATCAGCAGCTCTGTGATCCAAAGGGTATAATTCCAAAGACTACAGAACACAGAAAACCACATTTATCTTCAGAAGTATTCTTCATTAAGCACACAGAGAAAATTATGAGTTGCCAAGAGTCTTGGTGTGTGCCTATTGGTCCCATTAAACCTACAGATAGCACAGGACAGCCATGGTTACAGAATTTCTTCTTCACTGCTTTTCTTTTCCTTCTCTCTACTTCCTCTACCAAGCTAAAACCAGCTATCTTAGAGTGGGATGGTGCTGGCATGAGCCTTTAATCCTAGCACTCCAGAGACAGAGTCAGGTGCATCTCTAAATTCCGGGCCAGCCTGGTCTACAGAGGGAGTTCCAGGACAGCCAGTGTTACATCGAGAAACCCTGTCTTGAAAAACAGAACAAAACCCCCAAGCTAGCTTGAACTAGTATATTATTCAAGTCCCATTACTACTGGTATTGCTCTGTGCCAACCCAACCCTTTGTACATCTAAAGGTCATATACAAAATTACTTTACTTGTACCTACTGTCCACAATTTAATAGACAATTAAAAGTCACTGCTGTTTTTATAAGCAAACAAGAATAGGGTTTTGGTAACGAAGACAGAAGTGTAGAGAATAATTTGTGTAGTCTAGCATGTCATCCCGTGTTAATTAGCATAACCATGATGTCAATTTAAGAATCTCTGTGGTTTTGTTAGCTCTCCCCAAATGCAAATATCCAGAACATAAGTAAGTTAAGTCTATTCTAGATACACACCAAGTGAGAATGGACAAGAGACAGATATCCCAGCGGACTTGTTGGTTGCTTCTGTCAAATGTCAAAAAAATCAAATGACTGAAAAAACCCTCCATTCCTCCCATCTCTGTGACTAGAGCCTATCCTGCCCCTTAACAACAGCTCACTTCCACTCAGGAACAAATAACTGCTCAGGAAACAGCCACAGTACTGTCTGGTTCCCTGACAACAGCAGTTGAAGCTTCAGGGCCTAAGCACCAATTCCTACTGTTAAACCTTTCTAACAAAAAGCAGGCCTTCACTTTAGAAAGGCTATAATTATAATTTTTCAAATTAATTTACAGAGTTACATCTTTTCCAATGCATCAGAGAATGCAGGACAAGTGTTTGTCATGAATCCAATTACGAAATGTAATTCAAGTTTAAATTGACATGTTCTCCCATCTCTGCCCTCCATGATGGTGTAATTTCAAATAAATTTATTCAACACATATATAGTCCTCTGAAATTTGCCTTAAGCTGGGCACACCTTTAAGCACTCACCTTTAATCCCAGCACTTGGGAGGCAGAGGCATGTGGATGGGTCTCTGTAAATTAGAGGTCAGCCTGGTCTACATAGTTAATCCTAATAGTCAGGGCAACATATAGAGAGCCTGTCTCAAAAAAAAAAAGAAAAGCCCCCAAACAAAGCACCATTTAAAATCTTTTCGATTTTGTCCTAGCTTTCTGCAAGGTTTTTGGTTTTTCAGCCAGTAACACGGGTGGCTTTTTAAAATTATTATTATTATTAAAAACAGGTATCAATGCTCAGTGGTGGTGATGCACATCTTTAATCCAAGCACTTGGGAGGTAGAAACAGGAGGATTTCTGGGAGTTCAAGGCCGGCCTGGTCTTCAGATTGAGTTCCATGATAGCCAGGGATACACACAGAAAAACTCTGTCTCTAACTGCACCCCCCCCGAAAAAAAAATCCAGACATTAAAAATCAAGAATATGTAGTACTATTTTCAAGTTAAAGTCAGTTTCATTCAACCTAGGTCTCTAGGCTCTTACCTACCTCTCCAAAATACTGTGACTTCAACACAATAAATAGAGAAAACAGCTCCCAATTTTGTATTGCTTTGTAGATTATCAGTTAGGTCTTTCAGGGCAATGAGGCTAGAGAATTATTCCTTCTCTCAAGGGTCATCTACTAATGGCTTGGTGAAATCCGCAAGACAGGGCATTACTTAGTATAACTGAGACCTGAGACCTATAGAACTCAGAGACTATTACTGTCCATACTCCAGAGACCCCTTGCCACCACCTTGTACCACTGACTACACTGTGAGCTCCACCTTACCTGTTTGGAATGTTTAGGCCACTTCTCAAAGTTTCCCGCAGCAGGGTCCCCACCACCCTGGGATCCACTTCCTAAGCAAGATGCCCATGTTCTCCCCCAAGCCCCCAGAGCAGGGTCTAAGTGCATATCGAACAAAGAGCAACAAAGAAGTGGGTGGTAACAACCTCCCACAGAGGCATGCCAGGACCCATCAAGCAGGAACGACTCCAAGCTTACCTCCCTCTCCTTACTACTTCCCCACGGGCCTACCTGGCTCCAACTCCAAACCCCTTTAATTGTCACCGAGGAAGCGCAGCCCTTCCATCCGAGCCCGGAGGAAAGTGGCGCTCAAAGAAGCCAGCGAACAAAGGCTAGGGATGGAGCCCACGCAAAAACACGGGCGAGACAACGCCGCTCTGCGAACTTGGCCCCCCGCCAGCGGTAACTCCTCCGCAGCCCCACCCGGGCGGCGGGGTCTCGGTGAGGCTGGGAGCGCAGCTCCGACAGATCGCCAGCGGGAAGGGGGACCCGGCGAGCGGGGGAGGGGACGGGGACTTGGGGCGGAGCTCCAGGCCGCCGGCTTTGTGCCGTCGTCAGGCCCGGGATGCCGAGTGGGGTCCCTCGGGGACCGGTCCGAGGCAGTACACCCCAAACCTGTGCGTACCCGTGCGGAGGACCCGAGAAGGAGCCAGGGCGGCCGTCCCCGGGCCACCACCGCGAAGCCGGGTAGGCCGTCCGTGTCCCTGTCCCCGCAGACAGCCACCCTCAAACACCTCGAGCCGAGCGTCCACTCCGCCGCGCCCTCCCCGCAGCCCCGCCGCAGGCTGCCCGGCCACCCACCGTCATAGTAGTAGCACACTTTCTTCTTGCCGCCTCCTTGACTGTACGCCATGGGCTCGGGACGCCGCCTCCCTCCCGGCTGCGGCTCCTCCTCCGGCTGCTCCCGCCCGCCGCGGCCCGGCGGCCAGACAAGAGGGACTGAGGGGACAGCGGGCGCCTCGGCCCGCGGAACAAGGACGGCCCGGAGCGGGATGGGAGCCGGAGCCGCGGAGGCTGTGACCACCGAACGCGGGTGGCAGCGGCGCCGACGCGCGACACTCGGCGGGGGAGGCCCAGGGTGGCGGGGCTGGGAGGCGGGCGCGACCACTGTGGAGTCGCAGGGGGGAGCGCGGCTGCGGACGGACGCAGGGGCCGGCTGGGAGTGAGCGCCGCCGGGTGGGGCTGAAGGAGTGTAGCGACGGTTTTGTCGCACGCAGTCCGGAGGTGCGAAGGAGGGGACCTCGGCCCCGCGCTCCGAGTCCGGATCCCGCAGCCGTCGGACTCCCCCTCCGATCTGAGCGCAGTGGTTGCGCCTGGGCCGAGCCTGCGCACTCGGCGCCTGCTCAAACGTATCCCGGGCTGTCTGGACCCCTCCGCCGGGGCCCACGCCGCTCCCCTCCCCCACCACCGCGACGCTCCAGCCCCAGCCGCCACGTGCCGCGGGGACCCCGAGGGGGAGCCGCTTAAACGGTCCCCAGGGCTCCAGAAGGTACTGCTCTCCGGCTATGTGGTGGCCGGAGGTTCTCACGCCTTCGGATTCGCGTGCTCTCTTCCCCTCCTCAGCCCCTGGGAACTACTCTTAGTTACCGACTTAGACTTTAATGGCAGGTTGTAAGCATTTATGGTACTCGTGTATAATAAGCACGGTTCTCAGCACGGATCCCTGTTTATAAAGCTGTCAAAAGTGCCGGCATTCACGTGCGTGTCCTTTTCTTTATAGGCTTGAGTAGACGGAGGCGTGTAGTGCTGTCAACGGCTAAGTTATGGTCTGAGGATTTGAGGGGTGTCGAACTTTATCGAACTCCACATGCTTTGCCTACTGCATCAGACTGGATGTGGTACTCGTCGGGCACTGTGAGAAGAGCAGAAATCCAAAGAAGGATTTGAAAAGTTGAGTCCCTGCGTTTAGTAGATTGACATTTATTGAGCACCTGTCTAAGCCAACCTGCAAGGCACAGGGAAAGGATGGGAGCTGACAGTCTAATGTGTCACTCGCATCTCTTAACTATTACCGCTTCCAGTTCCTTCTACATGCACACACTACACACTGCCTCCTCCCTAAAGAGGTGATATTAAAGTCATACTGAGCCACTAACAAAAATAATTATTTTTCTCTTTTCAGATCCCCAGGACTCTCTTGCTTAAAACACCCATCTCCTAGACTTCACCTCAAGGGATGTAGAATTAGCCCAAGGTACCCCTTGTGACAACCCCTTTACTCCCAAGCTTTTATTTGTTAACAAGACCCTGGGAGACTAACCACAGTGGAGAAACACTAGCTTCCATGTTACTGTTCACTATATAGTGTCACTTGCTGAGTTTTGCTTTCAGTTCCAAAGTCAACCATGGAGGATTCTGAAAAACAGAATGAGATACTTTTGTGGACAGTAATGTTCTTCCCTAGACCCAACACAGTGAAGTGTGAAACAAGACTGATTTCTTCAGGGAGACTTCCAGCCTCTCTCCCTTCTGATTTCGGTCCATTTAATACCATGTGTCTTGTAAGCTCTACACTTAACATGTTACAATAGCTTGTCTCAGTAGGATACAGTTTCACAAGATGACAGGCCAACCTTGTCTTGTACATAATTATTTCTCTACTTCAAGCAAGCCACCTGAATTTTCTGTATAAATGGTTTTACCCATAAAATGAGAAACTTGCTTATGTGATTATGAGGAAGCCTCTTAAGAAAATCCACATGGAATTGTTTTTGAAGCACAGGAATAGAAGCTATTAGAAGTTGTAATAACTATTTTGATAAAAGTAATCATAGCTACTACTATTCTTTACCTCAATAGAACCCAACTTTAAACCTCAGGGAAGAGCTGGACAAATCTTACAATTTGTTGTAGAACTTGTGATGTTATTTAATAATTATAAATGGATAGAACAAAGGATTTTATTTTCAGAAACTGGCATTAAAGACTGACCAAGTAATAAGCATTTGCGGTCACATGTATGTCTCTAAGCATCTTTAACTTGACTTAGAAAAGAATTAGTTTTATCAGACCTTTCAAAATGCCAAGTTTTAGATAACATATAAAAGATGGAATCAAATTAAGAGCATGGATAATAGAATATACAGCCAACCATATACCTCTGCCTTCAACTGTTTTTCTCCAACTCCTATTCTGCATATTAAACTTCATTGTACTTGAAGATGCTTAGTACTCTAAGATTATTCAGTAAGGTGATATATTAAATGCTCCAGTCTATTTTAAAAATTAGATCCTGTTTCTGGGTGTGGTGGTGCATGCTTTTAATCCTAACAGTTGGGAGGCAGAGACAGAGGCAGGTGGATTTCTGTGAGTTTGAGGCCAGCCTGGTCTATAATGGGAGTTCCAGGATGCTACTGCTGTTACACAGAGAGACCCTTTCTCAAAAAACTACACACACACACACACACACACACACACACACAGAGATCAGTGCAACAGTTAAAATAATCACTTGGTAAGAATTATAATATAAAATTGTTTCTAATCTTAGGAAGTTTAGACTTGTTAAATTCTGTGTAGCAGTTTCATGAGAAAGCAGAGGTTAGAAGTAACACATAGAGTGTTGTCACAGATTGCAAGCCTCCTGCTGAGTTTCGATCTCTTCCGAATCATGCTTCTATTTTCCCACAGTACTATAAACTTTAATTCATAAATTGGAACAGTAATACCATACACTGGAAGAGAATAATTTAAACCCTGAATTATTTACCATTTTCAAATTGTATGAACCATAGTGTATCTACTAAACTCCTAATTGTCAACATCATTCTCAACTTCCATTTTGCGATGGCCATGTCAGTATCCTTTCCCTGACTAACAGAATTTGACCAAAAACTGTGGAATTTAGTAGTAAGCAATCAGAAAAGAAATGGTTCCCTACTTAATTGCATGTTTGCCTGTTTTTAAGTTGTTATATGTTCTGTGTTACTTTATTGGGCTTAATGAAGATATTTTTTCATGTATATCATGTGTCTTAACCATATTCCCATCTTGTGTTCCCTCATTTCCCATCCCCTTGTCCACTCATGATAATCTCCTTCTGTGCCTCAGTCTTCCTTCTTTTTCATCTCTCTCTCTCTCTCTCTCTCTCTCTCTCTCTCTCTCTCTCACACACACACACACACACACACACACCTATATACAGCTTAGTAAATCTATTAAGAACCTAGGATTCACTAATAAAACATTGTATTTAAGTCTGGCTTCTTTTACTTATATAATTATCTCTAGTTGTATCAAGTTTCTACAAAATGACACAATTTCGTTCTTCTTTATGACTAAAATGACACAATTTCATTCCTCTTTATGACCAAATAAAGTTCCATTGTGCATGAATACATTTCTTTATCCAATCATCTGCTGAAAGACAAGTATAGCTTGACTATTGTGGGTGTTGCTGCCATTAATATGGATGTGCATGTCTCTGTGGTATGTTGAAGGAAGTCCTCCAGAAATATGCCCAGAAGTGGTTTATGAGTTGTATGGTAGTTCTTATTATTGGCGTGAGGAATCTCCATACTGATTTCCATGGTGTCTGGACAGATTATATTCCCACCAACAGTGTACAAGAACTACTTCCATCTTTGTTACCTTTTGTCCTCTTTTGTTTAACTTTTGATAGCCATTCAGACTTAGGTGAGAGGAAATCTCATTGTAGTTTTAATTTCTATGTCCTTGCTGGCTTAGGATATTGAATATTTGTTTCTTTTGTTTGTGGTTCACTGGCCATTGATACTTCACAGTTTTTAAGGGTAGAGAGTTGGGGTTGAGAAAAATATCAACTTTACATATCCAAACTTTCTACGTAGACTAGGATGACCTTGGACTCTGGATTTTCTACCTATACTTGTGTGCCTCATGCCGGATTTTGAACTTCATCTTTTAAAAATTGTTGGTTTTCAATAACCTATTTATTAGCTGGCTTGTTTGGATTTTTGACATTTCATTAAATATCAGATTACATATTCTGATTGTATTAGTTTTTTTTTTTTACTGTTGTGACAAAAAGCCATGACAAAGGCAATTCATAAAAGGTAGTGTTTGAAAGTGGGCTTACAGAAGGTTGGCGTCCATGACAGTGGAGCAGAGGCAAGGCAGTAAGAAGAGGTGAGCGTTCACATCTCAAGCCACAAGAAAGTGACAGAGCACACACTGGGGATGACAGCTTTTTGAAACCTCAGGCTCTCTCCCAGTGACACACCTCCTCCAACAAGGCCACATTTCCTAACCTTTCCCAAACAGTCCCACCAACTAGATACCTGGTATTCAAACATATGAGTCTAGAGGGACCATTTTCATCCAAACCATTACACTGACCATTAATTCTCTATCCCAGTGATTCTCAACCTTCCGAAGGCTGCAACCCTTAGTACAGTTCCTCATGTTGTGGTGACCGCAACCATAAAATTATTGTCATTGCTACTTCATAATGTAATTTTGCTGCTGTTATGAACCATGTTGCAAATATCTGATATGCAACCCATGTGAAAGGGTTGTTAGAACCCCAAACGGGTTGGGATGTAAAGGCTGAGAACCACTGCTCTATCAGTTATATGGTAACAAAAAATGTCTTCCATTCTGTAGGCCATCTCCTCACATGATCATCTGTTTTTGTTATACACAAACGTTGAATCTACTTGCCTGTTCTTGTTATTTCCTGAGGTGTCAGGTGTCCTTTTCAGAAAGCCCTTACCTATATGCCTGTATCTTCAAGTGTTTTCTTCTACAAGTTATGTTAAAGTCTAACATTCAGGTCTTCGATCTATTTGAAATTGATTTTGCGCAGAGTGAGAAATAAGGATATAGTTTCAAATACAGATCTTCTGTTTGTGGATATCCAGCTTCCCAACACTGATTGCTAAAAAGTCTCTTTCTTCACTGGATACTCTTGCTATGTTTGTCAGGAATTAGGTGCTGTGTGGGCTTACTTCTGAGTCTTCTACTCTACCCTATTGATCTATATGTCTTTGTGCTATTGCAGTGCTATTTTTGTTGCTATATCGCTGTAGTATAATTTTAAAAACAGGCATTGTGATACCTCCAGCGTTGCTCTTTTTGCTCATATTTGCTTTGTCTATCTGGTATCTTTTGTGTTTCCTTATGAATTTTAGACTTCTTTTCTATTTCCATGAGAAATGTCTTTGAAACTTAGATGTGTATTGCTTTGAGTCTGTAGACCCTCCTGATATTATTTTCACTGTATTAACTCTGCCAAACCAAGAGCAGGAAAGGCTGTTCTAACTTCAATTGTCTTCAGTTTTTTCTTCAGTCTTTTAAATGTTTCATTGTAGAGCCCCTTTACACTCCTGGTTAAGTTTATTTTCTTTCTTTTATATGAATGCATGTGTGTGTTATATACAGGACACGTGTGTGGGTACTCATGGGTATGGGTCCAGACACATGGTGTCTTAGGGTTTCTATTGCTGTGAAGTGACACCATGACCACAGCAACTCTTATGAGAGAAAAAAGAAACCTTTAATTGGGGTGGCTTAAAATTTCAGAGGTTTAGTCCATTGTCATCATGGCAGGGCATAACCACGTGCAGTCAGACACAGAGCTGTAGAGGTAGCTGAGAGTTCTACATCTTGCAGGTGTTATCTTGAGCATATATGAGACCTCAAAGCCTGTCTCCTCAGTGACACATTTCCTACAACAAGGCCACACCTACTCCATTAAGGCCACACCTCCTAATAGTGCTCCCTCTGGGGGCCATTTCCTCTCAAACCACCACACATGGAGAGCCTCTATGTTGATGTTAGGAGTTCTTCTCAATAATCCTTCACTTTATTCATCAAGGCAGAGGCTGTCAGTTAAACCCAAGGTTTGCTGATATGGCTAGTCTGACTACCCAACCTGCTCTGAGGATCCCTTGTCTTCTAAATCTGACCTTCAAACTTCTTGAATTACAGAGGGGGCATTTACAATATGTTCTGAGACTTTGTTTGGAGGTTCTAGCAGGGAAACACTGCTACTCATATACCTTTAACCAAGACCATTCCTCCTCTACAGAAGAAGGTCTACTGCTGCCTGGCACACAGCTTTGGCAGCAGTATATCTGAAATAGTGAGAGAGGAAAAGGACTCCCAACTATCCACCGATTTATGAGTGGTAGATGTCATAGCCAGATGACCCTCATGTCTGAGTTCTGGGGATCCAAACTCCTGTGAATTCCCTTTGTATGAAGTGTGTGTGCCAGTCCTGCCTCATGGTCCCTTGAAGGTCCAGTTGTTGATCTTTCCTCCATGCTCCATGTGGTTTCTCACGGAGGTGGGATGCAGAAGCTGGGTCTGTCTCTATGTAAAACAATTCTGTCTGTGTCTCAGACCAGATCTCTACCTCATGGGTCACTGCGTGCATCAAAGCCCTTCTCCTCTACCTAGAGACATTCTACAGGCCACATTGGAGCGTGGATCATAACACTTGCTCTGAGTTTCCAGAGATGAATAGAGGATTCTTTGCATCTGGAGCCATGTAGCTTCTACTTCAGCAGGGATCTTTAAACAATTGCTTCTCACCACTGCATTCAAGTTCTGAGGAGAGGGGATCTTAGCTGTGTCTCTCTCTGTCTCTGTCTCTCTCACCCTTCTCTTTATTTCTTACTAAAAATACAGTGCCCGTTTTCTGCAGCTCTCCATCTTAGAGCATGGTTCTCACCATTTACAGTTACACTCACCCTTTTTGGGGAGCACAATGCATGCCAGTTGGGGGCTGAGCTTCCTAGCACAGACTCTATACTGTCTTCTACTTTGCAGTGTCCCCTCCCTCCTTCCCTCCCTTCCTCCCTCCTTCCTTCCCTCCCTCCCTAAAGCTATTTCTGAACTATCATCCATATCACAGAATTTGCTATTCCCCAACTGTCACCAAGGACTTTGGGCAACTCTATATTGGGCACTGTTGTGTTACCAGGGAAACTGGGGCTCCCTCTTGGGGTTCTTAGTCTTTTTTAAAAGAATTAAAAAACTGACATCTTGAAAGATAAGGCTGACAAACTGTAAACTTCAGCAGTCATTGACAGGAAGAGTATGTTATGCCCAAGTCGCAAAGATTCCCCAAGGACCAGCAGGGAGATAGACCCACGGTGTCCTGACCCGCAGGACACTCAACATGGGTCTGGTGGACACCTAGGAAAAAGATGGGTGGCAGGGGACACAAGGACGGACACCAAGACAAGAGTCTGATCAAGGCGACAACTTTATTCATCTCAAGGGGATTTATATAGGGGAAGGGAGGAGGGGAAGGAATGGGGGATGTGCTGTAGCTGCGATGAACCTGGCGGAGCCGAAGGTGAGTGGGATGGGTAGGTCATCCTGTGTGCTCTGGTAACCTAACTGCAGTCTAACTTTATCTTTCACATTCCACATTAAGTCTACGATGGCTGGAGGTCCCTGACAACACGTAACTGCAAAAGCAAGGTTTATTGTACCATCCAACCATGACAGGATCTTCATCTAGCTAGGTGAAGCATCAGCCACTAGAGGAAGTGGCTACCCGGTCTACTGCAGGAGTTTTAAAGACAAAAATCACAGGATTACATCTTGATTGGTTGACATTTGGGGAACAATTAGGGGAATTTCTTAGAGTCAGGGCAACAGGTTTGTTAACATTTTTGATTGGTTGACTACAGATGGGAATCTTTGGTGGATTCTGTGGCTTTGTCACTTGCAGGTAGCCTGTTCTCATTGGTTGGTGCTGGGAGGGAGCATTCTGTGGTTTCTATGGCTTTGTCTGTCTCTTGAAGGTGGTCTGTTATCAAACACAGTTTCCAGGTACTAAATCTAAGAGGAAGGTTATCTTGGAATTTTTTGTGTTTAGTTTTGGTCCTTCATATCTGTTTCTTGCTCTGCTCACAACACAATCTCTAAGAAGTAACATTTCCTTGAGGCTAGGGGGAAGGGTGGACTGGGTTTGTTCTGAAGGCTTAAACTTTTTGAGTTTAGTTTAACCCTTTCAGATATAGAGAAGGCAATCTGCCTTAAATGAGCTGCATGGCAGTGACTCAATAAGAGCATGCCCAATGAGTAAGGGTTTCTGGGAAGGAAAAGTACTTTATCTCATTGAGGAGATAATTGTTCATGTTGCTTTAACATGACTTAGGGTAATTGAGCCTACCTGAAGAGTGGTCTCTTGGCCCAGATGACTGAAACTGACAGACTACTAGATTAGCTTTTGAGGGAGGTGGCAATAGAATAAAATGTCAGAATATAGTTCTGTAAATAGATCCCAGACCCCACACCCTGGGTCAGGCCATGTTTCAGCTTGCTGGAACAGAAATTAAGAAACTTTTGGAGAGTAGCTGGAGAGATAGCTGTGATGATATTTTGTTTGTGCCTTAATAAATAAAGCTTGCCTGAAGATCAGAGTACGGAGCTAGACACTAGTTAGTCATAAAGGCCAGGTAGTGGTGGCACATACTTTTCAACTTAATACTCAGGATGCAAAGGCAGGTGGATCTCTGTGAGTTCAAGGCCAGCCTGGGCTACATGAGATTAATCCAGTCTGAAAGAGAAACAGATCCAGGCAGTGGTGGCACACACCGTTAATCCTAGTATTTGGGAGTCACATGCTTTTAATACCAGCACTAGAGAGGTGGAGAGAGGAATATAAGGCAGAGGAGACTGGGAGACTGGAGCTCATTGCATTCAGTCTGGGATTTGTAGGGACAGGATCAGCCCTCTGGTCTGAGGATTCAGCAGAGGTAAGAACTAGTGGCTGGCTGCTCTACTTCTTTGATCTTTCAGCATTTACCCTGATATCTGACTCTGAGTTTTTTTTATTAAAACCAATTAGAATTAGAGCTACAGATGGCTCAGTCTTTAAGAACACCTGTTGTTCTTAAAATCGCCAGAGTTGTGGGGCATTGGTGGTGCACGCCTTTAATCCCAGCACTTGGGAGACAGAGGCAGGCAGATTTCTGTGAGTTTGACACCAGCCTGGTCTACAAGAGCTAGTTCCAGGACAGCCTCCAAA